TGACAGAAGTCCATACCCAGCAAAATAACAGTCCGTGGGCTAAAGCTCACTGATATTTTCATGCAGTATCATCTACATTATGCCACATAATTCAATGAGGTCTCCAACTTGCTATAAGAACACTGTAGTTTTAGGCAGCCTGCTCAACAAAGAGTTTAAAGATTTAAAGAAGCTTTCTCAATGCAAATAAGCTGCAAGACACATGTGAAAGACAAATGTATCCATTACAAGTGACATTTACAAGTCGACTTCTAGCAATAACAATCATGCTAAAAATATGGCATTTGGGACTCGGATAACATTCAAGCTCAATATGCCCTAGCTTGAGACTTGTTAAGGAAGTTTAGTGTCACCCAGACCTGTATAGTAAGACTACAAAGGAGGTTTTCAAAATGGAGGCATTCTGAATAAATGTTGACATTAATTTTTCAATTGTTAAACCAATACTCATCAAGCACTGATAGTGGTTTACAGTGGAGAGCAGATCTTCAACTGCGATAAACTGATGTCAGCAGAGAAGCCTCTCCTTCTGACAGGGCTACAAGAAGACTTCAGATGATCAGGCTAAGGAAAAGGTGAGGCATTTTGCATTAAAATATTTACCCGCTATCATGGGGCATGTCAGTCTCCACCAGACTGGTACAGCCTGCTGTTCTCTCTGGGGATTAGCTCAATGATGACACCCATATCTGCGCTCTTCATGTTATCACGCCTCTGTAGTCTGCCTACAGCGCTGCTCCCGGCATCCAGAACCACAGCATCCTCCTCGTGGCTCGGTTCTCGGGCCACATCACTGTCCTTGTTCCCCCCCAGAAGGGGAGTTAAGTTCCTAGTCCAGCCATTTCCCCAGTAAGTGAGTGGGTGGACCCAGCCCTGCCCACTACTCCAGGCTGCAGACCAAGTACCCTCCAAACCACAGTTACTTACTGCATTCCTCTGCCGCGCTTCCTTGGGCCACGTCCCCACAGCCACCACCCCCCTCCTCATTCTCAGCAGCCCACCCAGAGCTCCTTCTCATCTCTCTGGGGGTATGTCTACACTACCACCCTAGTTCGAACTAGGGTGGTAATGTAGGCAACCGGAGTTGCAAATGAAGCCCGGGATTTGAATTTCCCGGGCTTCATTTGCATCTCGCCGGGCGC